AGGAGGAGGAGGAGGAGGTGGTGGTTAGCAGTTCCTGGGCAGCCATTGTAAGGGAGTGAGTTTTGAACTTTTTTAACAGCACACAAATTTTTATCACCGGCAGCAATTGGTGAAAAGTTCAGGTCATCAGGAGCCGTTAACACTGATATTTAGTGAGGGATTTTCTTTGAGGAGGAAGGCCATAGTCCTGTGTCAGGGACTAATTAAGACTTCTCAGTATGGACACTGAGGGAACTACTGCCATTACCTGCAACACTTGTGGGATGTCTATCTTCTTGCCTACAGAGGTGGGGAACTTCACAGCCCCAAGTGCAAGTTGGTAGCCCTTTTGGAAGAGAAGGTAGGCATGGGTAGCTACACTTCAGCATATTAGGGAGCAGGAGGTTTTCCTGGACAGAATAGAATAAACTGTCTTGGACAGGGACCACACAGAGGAAGTTGATGGGGAAGAGAAGGTTACATACACAGGAGGTAGACAACTGAAGGAATGTCACACACAGAAGTAGGGAGGCCAGGAATTGTTCTGGGAGCTTACAGCTACAGAATCAATTTGAAGATCGTTCCCTTATCAAGGAAGATGAGGAAAAGCAGCATGGACAGACTTCAGGGACAGAGCAGGGAACCCTGGGATCATTTGTTGTGAAAAGACTGATCAATGTAGTGACTGCAGAGCTGGATTTGCTTATGTCCTACAGACATCTACACCACAGGGAACAGTCTCTGCTAAGCCTCAGAGGAGGTGTGTGGTTATGGTGGGGGACTCCTTTCTGAGGGATACAGAAGCAGTGATTTGTGGGCCTGACAAGATGTCTCGGGAGATGTGTTGTCTCCCTGGGGCAAAGATTCAAGAGGTGACAGAGAGGCTGACAAGACTGGTCAAGCCTACTGACCAATAACCCTTCCTTTTGGTCCATGTGGGAACAAATGACATGGCAAGACACAGTCTTCAGAACATCACAAGGGATTACAAGGCCCTGGGTAAGAAACTGAAAAAAATGGATGCACAGATTGTCATCTCATCTCTTCTGCCAGTTGAAGGGCATGGTCTGGGACGAGAGAGGAAAATAGCAGATGTAAACAACTGGCTCCATAGATGGTGTCACCGAGAATGATTTGGATTCTTAGATCATGGGCTGTGGTTCCATGAGGGAAGACTTCTGGCAAGAGATGGGCTGCAACTCACGCCAGTTGGAAGAAACGTCTTTGCCAAACGTGCTCAGGCACCAAGTAAAGGAGACAGATGGTCTTAGATGTCTCTACACTAATTCACAG